CTTTTTCAAACATGCTAATTTATACTAGAATCATGCTAATAAAATGCTAATTTGTACTACACTCATGCTAATAACATGCTAATCCATGCTAATCCATGCTAGAAACATGCTAATGCATGCTAGAATCATGCTAATAACATGCTACTTATACTTTTTCAAACTGTTTTTAAACTAAACAAACTATTACCAACAGGCTTTGTCAAGCCAGCCTCAAAGTTTGTCTCGACGAACTTTACTGTCTAGTTATATTATATAGTCTAAATTTACATTTAGGTTTATATACGATGTTTTACGCATTTCAAAATTGCAATTATATTTTTTCAGTTATATATATATATATATATATATATATATATATAATTGTATATAATATCAGTTAAATATAATGCATTTCTTTACTTTTTTATATAATATAGGAATAAATAATAATTATATACAAAATATAATACAATTAATATGTATTATAATATATATTAATTATTATCCAGTCAATTACAATTACATTTTGGGGCCTTAAAAACTATTGTGGACGTTTGGGGACCTTGAAGTACGGCATAAACATAACTTATTTATTAAACTATTTGTATGTTTGTAGAGAATCAGCAATGTGCAAACAACATTTAGATAGCTTTTATTGTTTTATGTCTCAATAATAACAGGTCAGAATAAGTGTGTTTTTTTCATTTTAAGCTACGGTTAAGCTGAATGATGATTATAATTCTCCCTAAAATCTGTAGAAATATTAAATTCTATGAATAATTCTTGTATTTTATATTAAATGTCATGCAGCCATAAAAAACAGGATGTCTTATATCAATATGAGACATACAGTTGTGCTTACATTTTAGAAAATGAGTTTAACAGGTCAGAATAAGTGTGTTAACACTTGTATTTAATGTGCTCTCTATGTAATTTATTAATTCTTGTAATTTAAATTTAATTTCATGCAGACATCAAAACATATTAATTTCACACTTACGGCAGAACTTATATTTTATAAAATGGTTTTCTAGCAATCACATAACAAAATTTAAGCACCAAAAACCTAAAAATGAATTAGCTCAACCAATGTTTGACGTTTACCTTAAATATGCATATATGCAAATAATCCACCAGAACCAAACAAAAACAAAGCACACCCCTCTAAACAACAGCTATAACGAACTAAACAACACATCTAAACATAATATACAATAGGAATAGTTTAATAAATAGTTATATTATGCTATGTATTAGCAAACCTTTGAGTTTTAAAGCACACTATCCTCACCGGTTTAAACCACCCGTTTTCCGTGCGCGTTCCCGGCTTCCCTGCGCGCGCATCAATCTGCAAATCAAAGATAAACAGCAAATGACCAGCGGGAATTCGACACATATTCGTGTAGAAGTTTGTGTGACCGTAAAGTGCGTTACAGGGAGCAACCGCGATGAACTTTAGTCCAGCTTCAATGGATGCCGCCATACTTTCACTTTGTAGCGTCACATCTCGCTTAAGCTGCGTCACTTCCGCTTTTTACCACAGAGGAGACAGCGCCTCTCGCGTAGAACACAGTCAAATACACTGTTGTTAAATTTCTGCATGCCTGTCATCTATCTATCTATCTATCTATCTATCTATCTATCTATCTATCTATCTATCTATCTATCTATCTATCTATCTATCTATCTATCTATCTATCTATCTATCTATCTATCTATCTATCTATCTATCTATCTATCTATCTATCTATCCGTCCGTCCGTCCGTCCGTCCATCCATCCATCCATCCATCCATCTATGTAATATTTGATAACGTCTATAATGTAATAATGTTTTATAATGTAATAACGTTTTAGAGTGTAGATTTTTGCCAATAATTAAATAAATAAAATAACAAAAAATCTGACAAAATAATTATTGCATAATAATTAAATACAATACACATAATACATTATATAACATTATATCATTTGCAGGATTATAGTCTGTTATATATATATATATATATATATATATATATATATATATATATATACATATATATATATATATATATATATATATATATATATATATATATATATATATATATATATATATATATATATATAATACTAATACAATAAGGAATAAATAGTTTTTATCTAATTTTCTCATTTTGATGGTTATTTTGTCTTATATTAAATCCTTTAACATCATCTGAAAAGCCAGAGTCCACCTGTTTTTACAACATTCTGCAATATTTAAGGTTAATTTGACCATTATTTTCAATGGGATTGCACTTTGCTGAATTATACTGTTTACATTTTATTCAGTTTTGCCTAACAGTTTCATTTTTAGGTCATGCTTTTATTGCCAAATTCTATTTGAATAATGCTGTAATATTATGGCTAATATATGTTACCCATAATTTAGACCTTTAAAAAAAAAAATGTTTTAATATTATTTTCAGCTGTCAGGAAGCTGAACTCTCTCCCTCCCAATGCACCTTTGGACTGTGACACACACACACACACACACACACACACACACACACACACACACACACACACACAAACTCATACATCTGCATCGTGTCTCAGCATCTAAATATTGTTGCTTTTCTGTTGATGTGACTCCACCAATTGGAAGTCACTTTGGAGAACAGCATCTAAATAAATTCACATGTAATGGCATCAAACAAGTTGTGCATTGCAAATTTAGATTATAATTTTAAAATAATTTTAAATAATAATAATAATAATAATAATAATAATAATAATAATAACAATGTTCACCATCTGTTAAAAAACTTACAGGCCACTTTCCAATTGTCCTTCTTTTACATCCCAAGATGCCTTTATTCAAAGTTATTTTCATTAACTTAATAAAACATAAAAAGTTTTCAAAAAAGAAAGAAAGAATAAAAAGCGTGCTGGGTGGAAAAATGTCAATACATTTAAGTTGATAAACTAATTTCTCTTGATATGGATTCATCTAACGATGCACAAATTATTATGCCAATAAATGATTTGCTGCATCAGGCATTTAAAAGCAAGAAACAGCAAGTTCCTGAAGGTGTTTTCTTAATATTCATTTTTTCAAAGAACCTCACAGTGAATTGTTCTTGAAACCATTTGTTTCTTAGTATTGAGACAGTTTTAACAATCTAAAGAAGAAGCTTTTGTGGAATGTGAAGTATCTTTTGGATCTGAAATGATCTTCAGGGATCCATCAACGCCAATAAACAACCTTCATTATTATCAAAACTTCTTTATTTCAGAATATTCTGATGTTTTGCTGTCAAGACATTGTTTCCTCACATTTCATCTGTGTAACATTGGACTGCCAGCTACCTCATACTACCTCCCTGTATATTATTAAGATACTGTCATATTTACAAGCTTACAATTTACATGCTGCTCTGCATCTGCACAACTCTGGCTTGCACTCCTTGCCATGTGCCCTTAAGTGTATTTGCATTGTTTACAATTTGTACTAACCTCCCTGCTGAAAAATCCAGCTTACACCAGCCTAGGATGGTTGGCTGGTTTTATTTGGTCGACCAGCCTAATTTTGGAGGGGTTTTGGCCATTTCCAGGCTGGTGTCCAGTCATTTCCAGCCTGGTCTTAGCTGGTCAGGCTGGGAGATGACCAGCTACCACCAGCTTGACCAGCCTAGCCAGGCTGGGAGCCCAGCCAAAACCAGCTATGTCCAGCATAAACCAGGTTGGTCAAGTTGGTTTTAGCTGGTAATTTTCCAGCCTGAGCAGCTAAAACCAGTCTGGAAATGGCTGGAAACCAGTCTAGAAATGGCCAAAACTCCTCTAAAATCAGGCAGGTCGACCAGCTAAAACCAGCCAACCATCCTAGGCTGGTTTTAGCTGGAATTTTCAGC